ACTTACACAGACACTTGGGGTATTGAACCCCCCCCCCTTTCATTTTTTATTTCTTTTTAAGTCTGGGGTCGAGTCACCCTTTTCTAATATGTACTATATGTTATCAATAATGTAACCCTTTTGTCTCTTTAAACTGTTTTTAAATATATTTATATATCGTTTTCGACTGATACATAAAAATGCCCCCCCCCCCTTTTTTTCTTTTTAATTCTTGGGTCGAGTTACCTTTTTCCTATTATTGTTTTCTAACATGTATTATATGCTATCGATAATGTAACCCTTTTGACTCTATAAGCTGTTTTTAAATATGTATCGTTTCGACTGATACATAAAGAGAGAGAGATCTTCTCGTCGTTTAACTCACTTCTTAAACTTATAAACTTCGCATGATTATTTATCTAAAGCATAAGAAAACATGAAATATGCAGACATCAACAATTTTTTTTTTAAACACATTCTTCTTCCGTTTCATATTTCCATTTAATTTTCATGTGCCCCCGATTAGTAAATATTTCGATTAAATCACCCGCATCTAAGGGCATCTTTACGGCCTAAGGGTAAATTGTCGGTATTAAAATACAGAAATAGGAAAAAGGTGACTCGATCCCAGATTTAAAAAGAAAAAATGGAAAGGGGGAATCCATATCTAAAGTGCCTGTGTTTACTTACAGGAGCTAGGTCAGTGTCGCTCAAAAAATGCATTAATTATGTTTCATAGTACCTTAGCAGTTTTTAATTTGTGATAAACCTTTAAATATATTTTTAAAATGTCCTTTTTAAAAATAAAGGTAAAACTTTTAATGTAATAGGTGTATTTGCAATTGTTTATATAATGATTTCTTTATTAATTAAACAAACTGTTAATTCAAATACGTTCAAAGGAAAAGAGGTCAGTTGAAACTTGTGCCCATATCGTTTCGCGATACCATGTGATATCTAATTAATCGCAATTTCGCGGACCTTTCCGACAAGCCGAAAATTCCGAGCTCTCCGGGATGCGATTGATAACACATAATGAAACGCTTTCTAATACTTCCAGTGTTGGATTCGAATCGTAATAAGCCTTCATTATATTTGATAACTTCAGTTTGTTCTATAAATAATATTACACTAAACTACCATTTTCAACAAAAGTTATATCTAAATATTGTATCGACTATTCAAATCGTAAAAAGCCTTCACTGTTTGTGATAAGTTGTGCCTTAAATAATATAAAAATAAAATACCAATTCCAACAAAAGTTATAGCTAGATAATGACGTACTGAAATTTCTTTTTCATTGTGACGTCATAATCAAATGTGCACAAGAAAGTCGCCCAAACCATATAAATTGCGTACCCAGTTTTAATGACGTCAGCAAACCCACGACCTACGTTAAGTTTGCATTTTGGTGTTCTCGATTAATGGCATTGTCAAAACTCCTTAATCTGGAGTAGTCGTTGTTTAAAATGCACGCCGTTATCCGTGGTGTTTCGTTGTAAAATGAATAAATCGTCGGAATTTAATAGAACTAACTTTTACTGATGCGAAGCATATATCGAAATGTCGCAATGCGGATAAATAAGACTAAACAAAGTAAATCTTCATATTTATCGAAATTAAACATGGCTCGATGATTCCTACTATAATTGAAAAAGTACAGAAGAAAATCCAAAACTAGTTTTCTTTGGCCTAACTAAATGAACAATGCCAGGTAAAGTAATCCAAACAGAACGAGAACCGCTTACCTGTGGCTGTCCAATAAGATAACAGTGGAAGTATTAGACATTGGTAAAATGTTTTAAGTAAGTTATAAGCCTCAAACTGACCATTCTGTCAGATATTAGACTCTCCTCGGCGCTATCGAGCCTCGGACCGTCTAATATCTTACATATCTGACATAATGGACAGTTTTCGACTTATAATCATTACACATATCATACCGCACTCCCTCCATGCCATCTATTTTATGTGAGTGTGTCCTTCGTACTTTACACCCACGAGAAACTTGTGTCCACCTTGCGACCGAATACGATCTTGGATACGGGATTTCTTCCAAAAACCAGTAAAACAGGCATGTCTTACCTGCGTGTTTTTTGCTTCGGGAGCAAGGCACACTTGCATCCTCTGCGTTTCTAGGAAAATCGTAGAGTTTGTTGTACATGTCCAATATCCATCGTACATGCTTCTTGGCTGTCCTCGTGCTCAAAATTTTGCAGCGCAACGACTCTGCGAATTTCGTGCGTTCATTGGCGATTTTTGCCGTGTACAACCCGAGTGGATGCACGGCCTGTTGTGACTGAGGCATTAAGTGTAAAATTACTTATAAAAGAATATGCCTATTTACCCAAAATTTATTAATTTAAGAAGCACTGGACCGTAATATTCGTTGACATAATTGTTTTATTTTAAAATCCCACTCCTCTTATTGATTGTTTTCTGCAAGTGATTATAGAAAACAATTTAATTTTTATGTCTCTCCTAACGGAAGATCTCAGTTTAATTTAATGGTGGCCAATGGTTTAAATGGGGAGGTGGTTTTTGTCATAAAAGTATAGTGTTATTTGTTAAGATAATATTAAAACATGTTTCAAATTGGATGAGAATATTCTCTATGCCTGGACAATTTATATTGTACTTCTGTATTCATCAAAAGGAAAATTCTCTGGGACCTTCATTAAGCTTTATCAAAAAAGGGAAGTTGATATCTCGAGAACTTTGCAGATCATTGCTTATTCAAATGAGGAAAACATTGCATAGAAATGCAAATTTTCTAAATACTTTGAGGTTGTTACTAAAAAGATGGTTGAGTTTTTGACTGACAATATCTATGTAGTTTTTGGAGACCAGGTCTTCCAACAATCTGTTGGAATTTCCATGGATACTTGTTGTAGCCCGTTATTAGCAGACCTGTTTTTGTATCCGTACGAAGCAGAATTTATTCAAAAACTTCTACTTCAAATTAGGATGTATAACTAGAGGAAGACATTGATGACAAACTGACAACTTTTTGATAAAAGTGATGCCTTCAACTTTTCTATGGTCAACTTCGATCCCTTTATTTATGTAGCAATATATCATTATCACCTGCATATGGAGTTTATGTCTTCCGTTTGATTCAATACGAAAGCGGATGTTCTACGTACCAACAATGTCTTAAACTAGAAGGCTATTGACAAAGAAGTTGAGGATACAAGGATATCAACAATCTAGTTTAACATCAACATTTAGCGAATTCTATGATCGATACGATGACCTTATTTGCAAATACATTCTGCATTTCGTTGAGTCAAATGTTCAAATGTTTCATATAAATTGTTAGACCATTATTTTAACACTGAATCGCCTCCCGAATTTTCTGTTTACTTGTCGCGATCATGACAAGGAGCGTGTGACCGATCGACAGAGGATGCTTACTACTAACCCTACCTCTGTCTTCAGAGGTCCGTGATGGCACTACTCATTATATGAATTTTTTAAATGGACTTTTGATTAATCACTGTTCGTTTTCTTCACATCTCATTCACACCCCTTCTAATGTGTTCGGAACATTTTATTTTTCGGTGTTCTGCAAATTATAAAATCCGAGGAGTTCCCAGTAGCTCTTACAGTAGCTCTGGCGAGATCTAGCGAGACTACAACGAGATAATGTAAATTATTCACGGAAATGTGGCTAGGAAGTGAGTAGCACGCGGAGACATGGTGAACAGAAAACTTATCTTGCGTTTCATATTTCACCGCTGAATAATATCTGTAGAAATGTACTTCAAACTCTCCTGAATTCATTCAAACGTCAATAAGTATTCCTCATGACATTATTTTCTGCACTTATGTATTGAAATTTCTTTTTGGACAAACATGCTTGCATGGGAACTGGAACTATATTTTCTGGCGTTAGATTAGCAAATGGGGTACCAATATAGCTATCTGAATGAGTTGATTTGCATTGTGGGTTACTACGGATACTACAGGAATTTAACGCTTGAAAAAAAAAAAACAAGGCGATCGGAAAGGCACATTGAACATTTTTTCCATGCATTTGCATGCATTTCCATGCTGTCCCTTTTTTTATTCTATTATTTCCATGTTCACAATTACAAACAATTCATTTGTAACATGTTAGATAAACTTGGAATTCTAGATTTCTCAAAGTCATACTGAAAGGCGATTTTCGTCTGCATTCCTTTGTTGTACTATCGGTGAATACAATTGTCAGGTGGGTTCCCCGACCAAAAAGCACAGATGATCACGGGTATTGTAATATGAAAAAAAAAACTTCGTTGTCCTTTCAAATGTTTACATGCCTAGGGGATGCTTCTCGTGTTCCTTAACCTTGAAGCCCTAGTGTTCTGAACGTGGCACAGACTACATTTTTATATTCATTTTCTAGTTAACGTAATAACAAATTACGAACGCCCGTGGCATCTTTCATAGTTTCTACTCTTTGTATTTTTTCATATAAACAGTTTTTTTTTTTTGGCAATCCATTTGATATCGATCGTAGATGAGTTGAACCACGTGTTCGAAGTAAACTGTAAACATATAGGTGTCAAGTTAACGTTGCTATTCATTCAATGATTGGTCAATTATTGGTGGTAAGATCCTCTGTGCGTATTAATAACAAAAGCCATATAAGGTAAACAAAGGTTTGTCATATACATTTTTTCTACCAGCGTATCGAGGATTTTGGAAAAATTAACACTACTAAGCACCAATTTTCGCCGTAAATTATTACAAAAGCGAAGATTAAGTAGATTGTGATTTTTTAAATCCCACCCATTTCTGTTTAAAATCGTGAAAATCTTTCAGAAAGTTTTTAAAAGAAACAGATTATAGCAATTTCCTGATTACTGCCAATTTTATTTATAAAACCGGTTCCACCCTATAACCTTTGAATGGGTCAACCTACACCACGTGCCTTGAATTTAAATCACAATAACATTAGAAGGGGTGATTCATATAGGCATCAATAAGTTCAAAATTAAAAATATTTCAATAATAATTTGCTCCATATCTTGCTTATTTAATTATCTTAAATCAGACTTCCTTTTTTTAATAGACATGACAAAACAAGAAGTTTCCATGCTGCATGAAAGAACTCTTATGCATATGTTTTCCAAAAACATAGGAAGATATGAAAATTATGTTCCCATCTCATATCTCTATCGCAGTAAACCACAGCAGTATTTTTGGAATATTTACAACAAAACCAACGGAATCATGTATAAATACATAAAGAACTTTGGTGGAGACCCGTCATCTTCACTGAATAGAAATCTCCATGGCCTATTCTTCAGCGCAAATGTGAGTTCCACTACAGGATTACCTCCAGCAGTATCTTATTATGGAGACCAAAGAATCCATATTCCTGTAAGTTTCATGATTAATTCTGACAGGAACCTGTATTTTGCCGACTTTTACTGTCATTACACCAAGCATCACGTGACACTTGTTGTAACTTTGAAAGGTACGGATGCCGACTTATTTTGCCGTGAAAGACTGCTTTCTCTCAACTCGAAATTTAATAAATTTTTATTTCGGCGACCCCATGAAACTCATGCCATGGTTAGTACAAAGGTTACAGTCGAAGTGTTTTACACAGAGAGTATCAATATTTTCGAATTGTTAAACGACCGTGTAGCTTTTGAATCATTTGTACCACAAAAAGGTAATGCTGCTTTGAAAACGTATGTCGGTCTCCCTAAAAGAAAAGATTGTAAAATTTGTAATTTGAAAACAAATGATTCATAACATTACAGCTGAATTATCAATTAAGTATTATGTAAAGGAAAATGTCTTATATTGTCAATATTGTGGAGAAAAGTCCTTTATATTATTATTATTAATTATTATTATTATCGTTATTTAGATCTTGTTTTATAAACTGAGATTACCATAATAATGAAAACGACTTTCTTGAAAATGCACAGAAAATTATATTGTTTCTTCGCTCATCTGTTTCCTGTACTGTACTGTTTTACAAAAGTTTTAAAAATCAGACAACCATCTCTTTTTGTAAGGAGCACTTTTCGATGAACACATTGATGGTATGAAAATTTCTGATACTTATTATTTTGCCCATGGGTCATAAAACATCTATAAATTTTTACTCTTGTATTTTTACTCTTGGGATTATCTTTTTAAGTATCATTGTTCATTGAATAAATGTATTTATTTTATGTATTTGTTATGTTTTTCTCAACATATTATACACTGTCTATTGCATTTGCTTTTCTTTTTTCCGTCCATTTTTTTTAAATTATAATAATTGTTCAGCTTGTTTCATAAATATTTTTTATTACTTTTTAAGAATATATATTGTACAGACAAGGGTCACTGATTGTATTGTTTCAGTTGATTTCAGTGAATACCAAGACACTGCAAGTTCTGTTGTTTATTTTGTGTTCAAATACCAACCACACAGGTTCTATAAATATCCCACAAGTTTTTCGTTTTAGTGATTATATTTTTACTACACAATTTGAAACAGAAAAGAAAATATTTTGGGGTTTAAAGCTCAACCGGAGCCATTTTTTTTTTAATTAAACAAAATGTGTTCGTCGTAATCCGTTTTTAATGTCACCTGTATTAACTCTTTATTGTTTGTTTTTCTTTTTTACTTTCTCCAGCATATATAGGACATATATAGGAACACTTCGTTATAAATGGAGCTTGGACCTATTGGTTTAAGACTTCACAAAAAGCTTGTCGATTACCGTTCTGGGGCCCGTTTCACAAAACTATCTTATGACTAAAATCTGTCTTAAGACCGAAAATTATCGTAAGATTGTACCGTAGCTGTTTCACAAAACTGTCATATCTTATGATAATCTTAAGATCTATCTTAATCTTAAGACAACCAGATACATGTCTTAAGACTAAAGTGAGCATGGCGGCCGCCTATATTTTGGCTCAAAACAGAAGGAACTTAAGAAGAGAACGAGTATTTAGAGATAGGAACAACCCATTAGACTATATGACTGATGCAGATATCATTGATAAGTTCCGCCTTCCACGCCATTTAATTTTAATCTAGCGCGTGATACTAGGAGGTCTCATGCTCTTCCTCCATCACTGCAAATCATGGTGGCACTCCGGTTTTATGCCAGTGGGAACTTTCAAACTGTCACTGGTGGTCTTCATGGCATATAAGCAAAGCTAGTGTTTCAAGAGTAGTAAATGCTGTATCATCAGCTGTAGTAACTTTGAGCTCCCATTATATAAAATTTCCACAAGACGATAGAAGTATAAATAACACAATACTTGGCTTTTCTCGCATTACAAATTTTCCTAACGTCATTGGAGCGATAGATGGAACTCATATTCCAATTAAAGCCCCGAAAAATGACGAGCATCTGTTTGTTAACAGAAAAAATTTTCATTTTATTAATGTAATGGCAGTTTGTGATTCCAGGACAAAATTTACTAACATTGTTGCCAAGTGGCCTGGTTCATCACACGATGCTTTTGTGTGGACAAATTCAACACTTAGTGATCTTTTTGAAAATGGATATATTAGAAGAGGTTGGTTGCTTGGGGACAGTGCATACCCTCTGAAAAATTATCTGATGACACCAGTCCTTAACCCAAGCAATCCCCGTGAATTAGCTTACAACGATGCGCATGCTAAGACGAGAAACCCTATTGAAAGAAGCTTCGGGGTGCTTAAAATGCGCTTTCGCTGCATTGATCATTCTGGTGGAACGCTTCTGTTTCATCCAACAAGAGCATGTAGAATTGTGACTGCCTGTGTTGTTCTGCACAACTTGTGCACTGATCACAATGTTCCGGTGCCACAAGCACAAAATCCTGGGGCATATCGACTTAATCCACCAGACAACTACGTCTATCAAGGACCCAATAATGACGGGGCCAAGATCCACCAAAGATTGATTCTCTCTAGATTTTAAGGTGGCACCACACAAAAAAAAAATTGTGCATTCATGAAATATGGTGCCGTTTTCATTTTGTGTATTTAGTAAGCATGGATTCGGAACCAAATATACGTTAATATTTATTAGAAATATTTTGTTTATTTGTATATTATCCAACTGTTTGTGAAAGGGGGAGGAATGATAGAAGGTGATTTTTTTTTTTATATAAAATATTGGTTACTTTTATAAAAGCGTTTGATGTCCAATTTTCCAATGCTCATAGTAAAATAATAAAGTGTTCAAGTTATCGAGAACAAAAGTAAAATCCATCTACAAGGTTGGTCCCTTGACCCACAACTTTCAACATTAAAATTCTATTATGCAGCAGCTGCTTACATACAATAATTGTTATTAATTATACCCTCGATCAAATAATTTTTATCACCAAATTTCAATGAAACAACTTTTGAACATCACCCATAGCGATTGTGAATTTGCTCTGTATCAAGATTGTTGTGATTGTAATGAGCACAAAATAAATAACATGTAGTAAATTGAACACATTTCTACAGGTTTTATTCATTTTCAGAGGGGGTATTGACTGTTACTGTAGCGTCACGAACTATCCCAAGCTGACAGAGGTGAAAAGTATGTTGTTCACGTTGTATTTGTAGTTGCTGCTCTGCAATTTCAAGTCGCCGTTCTTCAACTTTCAGTCTTTTTTTCTCCATTTCTAACCTTTTTCCCAAACAACCAGCCTCTCTTCCTCTGTTGCAACTAGTCTCAATGTTATGTTATCATTACAAGTATAACGTAAATTCTTTGAGCGTTTCTTTGCTGGCTCTACATCGGGAAATCTTTTTTTCTGTAAACAAAATTCATATTATACAGCCAGAAATACGAAATTCATGTAAACAAAATCGCGAAACTTTTTTTTCGTAAAATATATTAAAACAGTAATTTTGTTATTTTATCTCAATTTCAAAATTTACATGGAGTATTATAAAATGGTGAATAAACGAGATATTTGTTTTCTCTTCATGCTAAATAATTGTATGAAGAATTAATAAAACCACGAAATATCAGACAAAAAATTATCACTAAAAGTTGCATACGACTTTCCTTATAGTGTAGAGCACACCCACCTCTGTAGAAAAAAAAATCAAACACTATGTATCCTCTCGTACCTTTGTAAGACATCTCACTTCATTGCTATTTATTAATTCACTATTTACAGGATTGGTGAAATAGACTAAGTAGTTTTAGGAACAGCCCCCTTTCACCGGGAATTAAGTCTAATGAGAATCACCCTTACACCTACCATTTACAGCATCTGTGCTCTTGCTTGGTGACGTTTCCCTGGCCGACTCTGTCTCTAAAACGTCAATGCCCCCCTCAATTCCCGAAATTGACGTTTCCCCGATGATACCTTCTATTTTCTCATCTATTGGTCTTAAGGCGGCCCCTGATCAGCTGCTGATGGCAAGGATCCTCCCCCTGTCTTTTTTTGCTCCCTCCTGTTTAGTGCCAACTTCTATCTGCTTTCGCTGCTTAAGCAGGTCCAATTCTTTTTCATTTCTTCTCCGGACCTGATGTGATCTGTAGTATTTACAGCATTTACCTTGGTGGCTATTTTGTTCCAAGTTTCCCTCTTCAAAGAATTGGAAACTGTTGAATTTCGCCTGGAAAATAGAATGTCTTTTCCTCTCTCCACTTCGTCTGTTAACACAGTTATCTCAGCAGAGCTAAAAGTTGGGCATCTTTTCAGAGACATTTTCTTACTAGAATTTTTTCTGAGCGCACGGACTTAGTACCCGTTTTGTGGCCACAGATGAATGCATTTGAATACCATTCATTTCGTGTATACAAGCGCAAATGGGGTGGTGGATCAAATTTAAAGTAAATTCATATTAAATATTTAACAATTCAAATGAAACATAATTAACTTTTATTTTATCAACAAACACACCCATTTTTAAAATACTTTTTGTCACACAATTTTCTCATTCCAATTAATTCATACATAATCATGACACAATTAGCATTATTGACTCTGCTCCTACATCCCCCGCCCCACCAAAAATTTGAACATTGTACATGTATTTGTACATTGAAATTTTATTTTCGAGCGTTTAACTCCTTTACAATATTTAAGATACACTTTTTTAAAAACAAAATTAAGAAAAAAAAAAATAACATACAAGTGATTTGATTGGAAGAAAACTTAACTTCTAGCAAGAATATTTTTATTTTAATTTTTTATACAATTTCCTATAAAATTGTAGCATGGGATATATCTTAAGACTTGTCTTAAGATTTCTACTACTTAAGATAGTTTTGTGAAACAGCTGTGTCAGATCTTATGATTGTCGTAAGTCAGATCTTAAGATTGTCTTAAGATCTGTCTTATGACAAATCTTAAGATAATTTTGTGAAACGCGCCCCTGGTCAATGACTTTAGGCTACATACATGTACTAATTCGTTTTTATAATTCATTTTATTTAATTCCGTCTGTAGATATAGGAGGAACCTTTTCATAGACATTAACTAAGAAGCATGATATTGTCAACGCACTTTGTTAACATAAGGGGTTAAACGCACATTGTCAGCATATGGGGGTTATGTTTCTCAGTTGATTCGATACGCAAGAGCATGCTCTACGTATGAACAATTTCTGAAACGAAGCAAGCTACTGACGAACAAGAAGATGAAACAAGGATATCAACAGTCTCGTTTTAAGTCATCATTTCGCAAGTTTTATGGTCCATACGATGCTGAATGACGTTTTTCAAACTAATTGTTAGGCCATTATTCATACACTGTACTGTCTACGGATTTTTCCGCCCCCCCCCCCCCCCCCCGATCGATCATGACAAGGTGCACACAGCGGGTGTGACCGGTCGGCAAGGGATGCTCACTCCTCCAAGACACCTGATCC